AAAGAGTAAAAGTTCACATACAAAGTTTGATGATGGATTGAATTTACTTTGAAATGTTCGTAAAATAATGGGAATGGTGTGACTTATTTAACCTGCTTGTTTGGTAACATTGTTAATACTGTTTTGATGGTGTCGTGTGTATGTGTGTGTGGTACGTGCTGAGATGGTGAACGCAAGTGTGTATGTGCATGGGTGTTGGCAAAGAGGCAAAAGTGTGTGTGTGTGTGCGCCTTTGTGTGTGTATAATGTTTTCCTTTGTGTTTTTTAACGTTGTTTTCTTTTCCAGTGTTATTTGAAAAGGGGGGTTAGACATCGAGCAGCCTTTTGATTGTGAAAGGTGATCAGTTATTCCAGTCAGATTGCTGTTTCATTAGAGACATTTTCCAAAGTTTGTGCCAGTTGTGACTGACGGGTAAATGTTACATGCTGAATTAACGTTTAATGCCTGTGTGTAGTTTAAAGATTTAAAGAGAAGCAGAGTCACTTTAAGCTGTGCCAGTGCTCCATAAAAGGACTGATGGGGAGGCTCCTGGGACTTTTTATTTTTTTCTGTCCAAAGCTACAAACTGATATAGAATCAGGGGACACCCCTCCTTAACATGTCAGTGTAGCAACATCCACCAGTGTTTTTGTGGAAATGTTATGCAAACCTCCCTGATGTGCACGCATCACATGCGCACACACAAACACCTGGTACTCCAGAGAGTGCTTGACCCACCAGGGCGATGTTGCTGAGTGACTGTATGTGTGTATGTATAGCATAAACCGAGCTTTATGCTTGAGCGTGTGTGTGTGTGTGTGTGTGTGGGTGGGTGGGTGCTTAACTAAAAAAATGCTTTCGATGTGCTGCCACTTAGCAGTGGAGTATCAACGGCACTGTCACGGTCCAATTTCTGCCAAGAAGAAATGTGGAACAGGACAGTTTGGAAGGAGGGGAGCCTGTGTGTGTGTGTGTGTGTGTGTGCGTGTGTGCATGCACACATGTTTGAGGTTTGTAAGTGGGACAAGGATCTAATAACAACCTGGGGGGTGTTTGGGATGCTCTTTGCCCCTGTCCATCCCTGGTGCTGTTCATTAAGCCCCAGAGGCCCCTGGATCTCATTCCACCTTTCCTATTCCTAAATTTAGCATTGAGGGGAAAGGCACAGTTCAGCACAG